TTGAGGCAGTGAAGAGCTCAAAATAAAGATCGATTCCACCACTTTGTGGGGTTCTCAAGGTGTGCGAAAAAGGACAGATTATAAAGATGTACTTTTAATTTTTTTGAGTACATCTTTTATTACACAGAATTTTTAATTTTAGAATCTGTATTTGGATTTCTTTTTTACGATATTAAATTTATTTTAACAAAGTTGAGAAAATGACTATAAAGACTTATAAAACATTCTATAGTATATGTCTGAAAATGAAAGTAAAAAACACAGCTTTCATTCCACAAATTAAAATTTTGGTATATATGGATCAAATTCCCTGTATTTTTGACTTTTATCAACAATTAACTTACTAAATTTCATTAAAATTCAGTTAGCAACAAAAAAAATTTTTTTAAATCTTTACTAAAAATTTGTAGAATACCGTATTTTTCGCCGTATAAGACGCAGGCACTTTTTTCCCCCCGATTTTGGAGAGAAAAAGTGCGTCTTATACGGCGAAAAATACGGTAACTAATGTCCATAAAACTTACTTTTCCTCCGGCAATAGTATTAAAATCATTATGGGATAAATGCAACCGTTGATNTCTTCGTATTCAATTACCTTCTTATTGGCCAAACTAATATATAAACTTTGGGTTGTATAATAAACCAAGTATATCAGCCAAAGATGTTCATTTGTATTACCATATGATCACCATAATTAATCAGGCTATTATTTTGCTATTATTAATAATTAGTTATTAATAATAGCAAAATAATAGCCTGAATAATCATGACAATTGCATAGTTTAGTATCAATGCATCGGGCTTCAGGATGTTTATTATATTTATTAAAAAAATCATTACCAGATAAAAAGTGTAATTTAATTCAATATTTAATCATATACCAAAGATATAGAAAGTTTATTTCTAGATCTTTGACATGTCACTTCTAGATCTAGTCTACTTAAAGATCAGTATTTTTTTAATTTAAAATCATAATTTTTCTTCAAATATATATCACACTATCTTACAAATCTATTTGTACAATATATGACTTAAATTAATTTTAAATCTGTTTTTCATTTTTTTAATTCCTCACACCAAAACCAATTACATTAAAAAGCTTTAAAAACAAATTTTTAAAAATCTTTTTAAGTACTTACAAATATTACATCATTTAATTTACAATAAGAAATGTATACTACCGTAAGCACTCAAATATACCCAATGTGGATCCATTTTTAAAATTTGTTTGAGGTGTGGGTTTAGTTGAGCCAGTGGGACTATTCTAAACCATGGGCTTGATTTTTCAAAATTTGCTTTCTTAAATACCAAATTTAACATTCCTCTCACTTTCCAGCATGAATTTTAGTATTTAAAAGACAATTCCAGTTTTAGAATTAACAAGTTAGTTTTCTTATGTATCAGCACAAGTGGCCCTAGGCGTCATTAAACAAAAATCAAAGAACATTTTTAAAAACTTAACACTGATATTGAGAAATATAGTACAGTAATTTAAACAATTATAATTTTCAATAGGTTGTTTACAGTAATCTTTAGCTTAGAAAATGTGATTTGAGCAAACCCACATGCATGTTCATTCGAATACCACGGGGTTTCTTTTAAATGCAACCAGGATGTGTCTAATTGAGTGCGTGCGGTAATTTTAATCATCAAAAATTATCTCATTAACAAAATAAGTACCTTTTCTTTTGCATGAATAAGTGTTTCCAAAACAAAAGACGTTCCTAATTTTGCTGACAGTAATGTTACTTCTTGGTATCCTGACAACGTCTGTGGTATGTAACCACAAATTTGCCTATACGGCGAAAAATACGGTAACTAATGTCCATAAAACTTACTTTTCCTCCGGCAATAGTATTAAAATCATTATGGGATAAATGCAACCGTTGATCTTCTCCTCTCGATTTTTCTACTAAGAGAGCTATCAGCGTGATCATTTTTTCTAACGAAGCGGGTTTATATTTGTCATCGACCGATGACACGACTTCGTCTTCATCATCATCCTCCTCGTCAGAAACTACTTCGACCTAAAGGAAAATGTTTTAAATTAATTCCAATGCATATCATAAAAACACTTTAACCAACACATTAATTAAGTCATTTGGTAATTTTTGCATGCCACAAAACCCTTAATTACCAGTAATAAATTAACAAAAACTAATTCCAGATTACAATTAGTTATAGAAAACCTGATGCAGACCTTGATGAAGGCCAAAAATGCTCATTTTGTTAATTTATTACTGGTAATTGCAGGTTTTCTGGCATGTGATTACCTCCAGTAATTCAGAAAGGAGATAGTTTTGGTAATTTTTGGTTTAACCATAGGTAGAAATTGCCAAATTTAAAAAGAAGCCTCACAAAACCCTATCTAGTCAAACCAGATATTTTTCTGGAATCTAACACCATTCAAACTTTGACAAAAATTTGTTTCTCTGACACAAGAAAACATAGAATGGTCAGTAGCCCAGCTGAAATATGTCTGCAAAAAGGTAAAAGAATCAGCTACTTTTAATATTAAAAGCCACCTTGCTACTGAACTTCCCAAGATATTTATAAAAATAGAGCAAGAAATGATGAAACTTTAGAAGCTTATAAACATATCAAGAAATAGTGTTTAGACAATAAGATAATATTTGCTAGCAAATAAGTAAATATGGGTCTCAAGTGTGAGACCATGCAGGAAAGCTTCACACAGCATACCCCATATTTCTATGGTGTCTGGCTGCTTTTCCTGTATTTCAATATAAAAGAACACCTTGTAAAACTGGAAGATCAAAATTAATACTACAACACCAAAAATCCGGCAAAACATACTTTAAAAGACAAACTAACATCTCTTAAAGTATGTTTTTCTGGATTTTTAGTATTGATATAGTAATTTTAAGTATTTTAATCAGACAATAATAATTTTGTAGTAATTTTGGGACACTCCATGGCTTTCAACAACCTATACTTTTGTGTTCTTGCATTTAGCAAATACATAGCAGAAGTGAGATATAGCCCAGTACAACATATTTGTCTAAACCCTATATTTATTTTGTTTTAATATATTGAGTAATTTGTATACATCAAAGTCTAACTATATGCATCTAATTTATTCCTGTAAAAAAAAAAATTCATAAGGCTAATTTTCATATAACTATCTTACTTTGCCATCTAATGCTTGCCAAGAAAACTTGTTTATTAAACGAATGCTTTCAACCTATTATTACACGCCATCTTCGGGTTTTTAAATTCAATAAGAAATCATTATAGAAATGGAATATTCAGATATTCAAATTTACACTTAGTTTCAACCTAGTATTATATTACCTATGGAAATCTGTTTGTTTAATAAACAATTTTTCTTGTAAAGCATTGAGTGTAAAGTAATATTGTTGTACCTCTTGGCTAATTTTGTTTTGTTAGTTAGTTATGGCAATGCAACACTTGGGCGATCTGCCTTCCAGAAGGTCTTTTTAAGGGCCAGTTACCATTAAAAAGTAAGTCACTTTTTGACATTTTAATTCAAAAGTAAGTCATCATCTCAGTTTTTAATTAAAACTAGGCTGTGGAAAAAACTTGGAAAATTCCACATGGCCAGCCCATCTGGCCAGGCACAAACCAACAACCAAACTACCAGTGTTCGGGGAACTGAACTGCTTGGCCACCAATGGGCCATCTCTATGCTAAGTACACTGTTTGTATGTTCAGATGAAATAAAGAACATATTTTTTTACTTTAGCCTAACCATTTTTATTACTTTTTACAGAAAAAATTCCAATGTTCCCAGCCTAGAAACACCATCTAAAAAAAATTNCACCATCTGTTTTGAGATTCTGTTATTAAATAATAAATATTCTTATATTTTTTAATTATTATAAAATGGCAATAGGCTTACATTTTAGGGTAGAAATGAGTTTTATAAAAAATTGTAAATGTAATAAGTAATATCTTCATTAAGTCTCACCCCTTTTATCTCCTCACCCTCTCAACCATTAACCACCAAAATTTATCAGTATCAATCCCCTTTATACACAAGTTATCTTGCTAAATTTCATTTCTTCATCATTATGCCATCCCAAGATATTAAACAAAACAGACAACACACACATGCACAAAATTTTTTCCATTTTTTGACTTTTTTGGTTTGGGGGTCTCAAAACATGGAAATTTGCAAAAACCTTGGAGAGTCAGATTTGAACACAATTCCAATACTTCCCCCCTTGTTATATATAAGTTACATAACAGCCAGGAAAGTAAAATGGAAATGTAGCCTTACTATTTACTGTATTTACAAAATTACATAATTATTTTTCTGCCAACACATCACAAATTTGCAGTGTCTGTCATCAAAAAAACTTGGGAGTTTGTTCATCTATATACTGAGATTGTCTTCTTGCCAGATTTGAAATTCTGTGTTCCTTTATCCTTGGAGAGAAATAGAAGTCACTTGAAAAAAGTATATATAAACTGCATTTTGGAATACAGTGGAACCTCGCTTAACGAGCACCTTGCATAATGAGCAAAACAAATTGTGAAAAAATTACTCGCTTAACGAGCAACATTTTGCAATAATTCTAACCTCTATTTGCTGCCATAAAATATCTTACAACAGTAAAAAATGGCCTCAAAGCATAAGCATCATATCCTTACCATTAATACAAACTACTACTGGTCTCAATTAGTTTGGATTAGCATGACCATAAGTAATAGTAGTAGTAAATAAGTAAATGTAAAATAGTAAGGCTACATTTCCAACTTTGTTTCATTAATTTATGTCCACCCATTGCTGCTTGATCAAAGTAGGGAGGAAATTTTTCAACCTGCTCTCTTATTTTTCTTTGCATTGCTGTTACCACTGATTTTACTTTTATTTACTAATTTTGTTACAAGCTAAAACAATTATTCAGAATTTAATATTTATTTTAAATTACTTTCATGCTTTTGGAAACAATTTAGGTAATATTCTTACACTTAAAAATATTTCATTAAAAAGCTTTTGAAAAGAAATGACTTACCATTTCTAACCCTTTGCATGTTATGAGCAATTAGAAACCTTTCTACCCAACTATCCATGCTCTGAAGCACCCAAGTATGGGCCATTTTATTTCTTGGGACTTGAACGGTTAGCCATTCCAAACATTGTTGAGGACAGTATTCAGCAGCCTAGAATCAAAAATAAAATTTTTGTTATTAATACCTGCATAATTTTGATTAACTATTTATAAAATAAACATAGTCAGCTAATTATAAATAACTGCAGTGCAAAAATCAAGCATTCATATATTTTACATTGTTTCTTACCTCCCAAATTCTTTGTAAGACTAGATTAGTAAAAGGAGGCATCCCTGGAGGTCCACCAACAAATTCTACTAACATAGACAGCAATTTAAAGAAAGGTCCACTTCCCTGGAATATAAATAAATTAATTACATGAAAAATAAAAATTTTATTAGTAGTAGATAATTTTAATAAGTAGGTAAAAAGTATTTTTTCCTGCTTTATTTTAGGCTTTCTCAGCCTAAATATAAGTCAAAAATAATATTGAGAAAGCGATCACTTGGCACTATTCAATCTTTTATTTCAATGAATATTGAAATAAAAGAATGAATAGTGCCAAGTGATCGTTATTACGCTACATTGCATTTATAAAACAATATTGAGAAAAGTTAAGAAAAGAAGTAAATAATAACAAAAAGACTTTTGTTATTATTTACTTCTGTCATTCATTATTTTATAAAATGTCTGAAAATAACAGAAAATTTAATTAATAAAGCATATCAACCAAGTCACAAAGTTGCCACTATTTCAAGATTTTACTGTGAGATTTTTCCTTTAAATAAAAGACCAAAGAAGAAAAATGCTAAGAGAATTACTAGGAGCCAGAAATCTTTTAATTTACATTTTTGGGATACAATTAGCCCATCTTTAGAGTACCTGAAAACAAACAGTTACAATGATAATAAAAAGTAAAATACATCTGGATACGAGTTGTCACCTGTGAACATTTTAAACTGTTTTACATATTTGTGCAGAGGCATAGCCTCTAAAGAAAGGTTGTCTCTGCAATGGAAATAGTTGTTCCTGGTGATTGGACATGGCATCCAGATGTATTTTACTTTTTATTAAATTGTAATTCTGCCAGCCCTTTTCTACAAAGTTACAATGATGCTAACCACTGATTTTTCCTTATTTCCCATAGAAGGCAATTGTAAATTGAAGTCTTATGAATACTTAACTGTCTAAAAACTATGGAACAATCTTTTTTTACTCTCAAATAATGCAAAAGAGATGTGTAGGTGTTAAAGTGGTGATACAAACCCTAGTCCATTGATTTTGACATTCAACATGAAAATAAATCATAAAGCACACTTCAGGATTAAAAGCAGAAAAATCGAACTCTCTTGAAATGGGAATCCCATGCACCACATATCTAGTGATGTCGTGTCACAACACCACATGTCAAGTTCGAACAGGAGAGCAGGAAGTGACATTAAGAACCAGAAATAGTATTTGTGCAATGTCACCCAGCATTTCTGGATTGGAGCTTTTTTATAGACTAACTGAAAATTTGGGAAATTTTTTGAGAAAATATTTTTACTACTTTCATCTTTTTTCAGTAGACTAAAGCATAAAAATTTCAACATGACAGAACCTATGAAATACTGTTTAAGCATTGTGATGAAATGTGTTATAAGTTATTTTTAAATGATTCCTATTACTAAGTAACAACTTAACGTGTTAATTTTACCTTTTAGAATCCAAACTGATAAGACTACTGGCACCCGAATTATTAGGTAACCAAAAAAGTTCTGTCATTTTTTGTGAAACTACAAAGTTTAAAGAATGTTACACGCAATACACAATAGATGACACTAAAATTCCAGCAATATGTTAATCAAGATTTAATGCTGACTCACCTTATATAAAAAGAAGTGGAAAGGTTATCTCTTAATATTATAAAAATTGACTTGAAGATGAGTACTCCAAACTCTGTAATTTGTGCTTGTATGTTGTATGAGTTTAAACTTGGAACAAGTGCTGTGCAAATGGCTCAAAAAATATGCCAGGCTTTTGGACAAGGTTCTGTTAGCACTCACACCACCCAAAGATGGTTTACAAAATTTTCTTCCGGCAATGAGTCGCTTAAAGATGCGCCATGAGAATGATGTTGAATTACAGGCTGCAATCGAAGAATATTCTGCTCAAACTTGTCAGATGTTAGCACAAAGGTTCTCCGTAAGTGATGAAACTGTCCGTTTACATTTGCATTGTCTTGGGAAAGTTTACAAGCTCAGTAAATGGATACTTCATCAATTGGCACCTGCCAATATTGTGCATATGGTGGACTGCAAATGGAATTGTTCACTATGAACTTATACCATCTGGCCAGACTATTACTGCTAATGTCT